ATATATATATATATATAGTATTAAGTTTACATTGTATATCTATATATCAAACTATAAAACAAAGAGAAAACATTTGTTGGTAAATAACCCTATTTTTTAAATATGTGATTAAGAGTTTAATTTTTAGTTGATGTATATAAAAAAAATATTTGTTAAAAGAAATTAATCTCTTAAATAAATCTTAATACATCAAAAGATTAGTTCTTAATTTTTGACAAAGAAATAAAAATAAATAATAGTCATTTGCTTTATGATATTCAAATAATAAATTGTAAAAAAATCTAAAATTATGGGGTTAATTATCAATAATATTAATTATTTTGTTTTATTTACCCGTAAAAAAAGAAATCTCTAAACAAAATAAAAAATAAAAAAAGTTGTGAGAAAAAATGCATATGTGGGGGCAGCGTGGGAGCGCCGCGTTTTGATAATTCCCATTTTGGGACCCACATAGCATCCAATTGAAAATTCCTACGGCGGTGTCCTTAATCATACTCATTACTCTCTCAATTTCAAAATATTTGTTTTCTTTCCTTTTTTTTAGCCCTCTTTTCTGTTACTGAGAATTTCACTGTCATACATTTTGTTCTACTTTATAGAAATATAATAAGTTATCAATATCTGTTTTTGTACAATTTATCTTCTCTCCCTTTAAATTTCTTGAGAAAGAGGAAGAAGAAAATAAGTGACATGGTTAGTACATAGAATTCTTGTTTTCTGGAATCTGAAATTTCATGGCTTCTCACAAGTTTTGCTCTTTCTTTTTTCTAATTTCTTGTGCAACTTCAAGATTATTGTTTGTTGATCCACAGATTTATCTGCATTCCCACTTTTTCAGTGCATTCTTGGTGCATGTGATTCTTGAAAACATAACTTATATCAACAATTGAAACTGTTAGCCCAATTTTGATCCCTAGAGTAAAATTTTCTGTTACATGGTGGAATATCGAGATTGTAAATTTAGTTTACTAGTTGAGTTGATTCTTCACCTCATATTGAATTTGGAGTTGCAAGTGGGGTAGTGGATTTGTAATTGTAACTCTTTGTTGAATATTGATATGCTGGTAATTTGATGATGAAAATGGAGCATTGATCCTTGATCATAGAACTGCTTTTGTGTTTTATTATTTTAATTTTATAAGCTTTATTGAATTCCTTTTGATTCCAACGGATGGATTTTGCAAATGGGGCAGAATCGTTTACCAAAAAGAGATTGGCTTGGAACCCTTTTAAAGAGCAGCTTTGGATGCTGTGAAGAACACAAAGACATTAGGTTTAATGAGAAGAATGTGTTCTGCATAGATTGCGTAGCTGGATTGTGTCGGCACTGCAAGGAAGCTCATTCCCTCCATCGAAGGTTTCAGATATACAAATATTCCTATCAAGATGTTGTGCGCCATTCTGAACTTCAGAAGTATTTTGATTGCTCAAATATCCAGGTTCTTCTCTTGTTTATTAGATTTATCCTTGTTCAAAATCAATTCAGTTTCTTAATTCTAATCTCACTCATTGCATCCATGTTTTGATTGATTTGTTTTGCTTGATAAGTGATAACAGTTGAATAGTATATGTAACTTCTATGTAGTTTCAATTGTTGGAATGGATATTAAATACAGCTCTACTAACTTTTTTCCATTGATCATAGCCTTGATTGATTTACAATATCTATAAATTTTACAAAAGGGATAGTCTAGATTTCAGATAAGCTGTATCTTTTAATCATTGAGTTGAAGTATATTACTCTTACTTTCTTATGCTCTAACAATGCTCAACAAGAACTATGGTTCAAAGGAAAACTAAGCATACCATTTTCCACAAATGAAAGCATACTTGAATCTCATTGCTTAATTGGAATATCTGAGTCACCGATGCCAAATGACTTCTTAGTTTTTTTAACCTCTGAATTGTGCTTCTTCTAATTGGAAGATGAATGAATGATGATTTGGCAGACTTACGTGTCCAATAATGAAAAGATTGTGCATCTCAGACCCCGGACTTCATCCAAAGAATTCAAGCTAGCAAGAAGATCCAAGTTTGATACTCATCTATTCTCTGAATCTAGTGCCAAAGAAGCCAAAGTAACAACACCTCCAAAGTGGGGTGCTACTTGTGAAGAATGTGGAAAGCATCTACAAGATGAGCGCAATCGATTCTGCTCCATTACGTGCAAGGTAACAACATGCTTAAACTTAATGTGGAATTTAATCTTTACTTAACTCTAGATCATTAATTTGAGATCTAAATCCTGTGCATTGTTAGATCTCAGTGCTTCCACAAGATCAAGGTCATTCTATAAAGAAAAATCTCAATGCACAAAGGATTCCGGAGGAGGGTGTTAACCAACATGATAACCCAAACTCAGAAACTGAGTCATCTATCTCTGTGGCCGAGACATATGAATGCTTTGAAGTTGTGAATTTCAGAAAGCGCCCAAGGAAAGCCACCCCTCAGAAATCATGTCATTTTGTCTTCACTTATTGAAAATTGTCCTTTCTTAGTTTTTCTTGTATTCTAGTTTTCTTTCCAATTTTGGAGAATAAGAATTCTTGGAACATTTGAGGGAAACTCAAGTCAACCCCACTGCATCCCATTTTGGGATTCAAAGTTGGGAATTCAGTAGCTTTGAGAATAGTCACTTGCTGAGCTTGTACAGCACAGGGTTGACAGTAAATTAAAGGTGTACAGGATGCACTTTGGTTACTTTTTAATTAATTCCATCCTTTTCATCTCTTATAGTGAGCTGCAAATTAGTGTCTCCAAGTTATTTGATGCTTTTCAAGTAAAATCATCCAATTCTCATCCAATAATACTAATTCATGACTGCATTTGAATGTATGTATTCATGTATTCATTGACAATTGCCTTTTGGTTTGAAACCATATTATGAGACAATTCTGTTCGAGAAAGACATAACTATTATATAGTATAGACAACAAAACTCTTTGGAAATTTAACCCAACTACATACTAAAACACAGACTCAATACTACCAATTAAGTTAAAATAATTCCACATCAATTTTTCTGTGTTTCGGTTACATGTTTGTCTTGAATCTAGTAGTAATAGTATTAGTTTGGCTTTCCCTCTAGGATTCCCAAATTATCTGACAAATAAGTCATGGGATGTTTGTTCTACGTATGTGACTTTCATAATTGCATAATCAGGCCTGCTCCCCTCACACTATATGGCAGCAACTTTAGTGTCCATGTTTCCCTTTGAATGTGGCAGGCAAAAAGGACGTCAAACCTCAAAAGTTGGTAGATGAATAGGATGGCTGAGATTTAGTGTCCCCACAACCAATTTCAAAGCCAAATCTTGTGCATGTTAGAAGCACATGGACCTTGCCACTCACCTTCAATAATCTCAAATATGGATAGTATCTAAAATATTCAGAAGTACCTATTCATTTTTTTGTGTGCTTTTATCTTTATTAGGCAAGTGTAAGGGCATATTGATTTCTAATTTTCTTGTTTGAACTGGGTTTTAATATAAAGCTAACCTGTACTGTATATCATGCATTACTTTAGTAAAATCTTGTAAATTAAAAAATATTTTAAAGTAGATTGGTTTACTGCTTTACTTAATAGAGAGTTATTTTGCTGGCAAATTACATCTAAAGATAGTTGCATCGATAATTTATAAATATCTTATCCTATCTAATATTGATTGAAAAATTTTAAAAAATAATTAACTAAATTAAAGAAAGTAAAAATAGTTTGATCAAAATATTCCAAAAAAAATATTAATTTAATTCAATTTGATGTTAAGAAATTAAGGGACATTCTTATAAAATAAAACACACATAATTACATCAAAAGAAGATTATCCACTAAAATTAATTTGCTATACGTATGATATGCTTTTATGCCTGTTAAAGTCACAAATTTTGAAATATACTATAAAAGATTCTTTCCTACAAGTCTTTTAAGAAGTTTGTTAATAAAGTGGCGTCATGAACTAAGAGAAATTGCTTATGAGACAAGTAACTTTTTCTAAATTGATTAAATTAAAAACTTAATATATAATGAAAATTATCAAATATATTTATTTTTAAAAAAAATTAAATTAATTTATCAGGGCTTTTAAAATTAATTTATTGTATCTAATAATATGTAAACATTTATGTAGCACTTTTTGCACGCTTAGTGGGGCTAATTGGTAATGGCAAAGCTTCCATTCCCATTTTTCCACTGTGCTATTGAAACAAGTTGAGGATTTTGTCGGCGAATTCCTTTATTAAGTACTGTGGCTATTGATAGTCTCTCATTTCCTTTTTTATTCTATTAAAATGGTTATTCATTTCAAACCACTTTGATGTTGAGTAGAATTGTACCATCTCATTTAAAATATATTGAAGGATATAATTTGTTCTTACCGGAAATCTGCCATAGAGATGATTTACCGAGTAAAATTGGTGAGCCTTCTTCGCTGGTACGTTGGTGTTCCAAAATGGGGGGTACCTGCAAAAGAGACTCCGATGCTAAAGTTAGGGTTTGTATGAGTGTATGTCTCGTATAAGTAATGCACGTACCTTAGTATGGATTAGGGTTGCGTTGGGCCTTGGGCCTGAGATCACTTGTGATCTAATTAGATAGCGGATTTCGTATGGACCGAGATCTCCTTAGATCAGTTATGATCTGGTTAAGTGACGAGCTGACGTCACGTAACGCGTATCCAAGGTCGTCATGCGCTGCGATGCCGAGCTGGGAGCTCAGCCTTGTAGTACGGATAGTACACTAGCCCCCCGAGCTCCGAAGACCGTAGGTCGAGGAGTTAAGACCGAGCTCATCAAGTGGCTGTGACCCCTCGCGTACGCGTGCTTGTTGAGATGCCCTGTGTCATAACTGATCATCTCCCGAGAACGTGCAAGTGGCGCGTTAATGGGAGTGACGGTTATGTAATGATGGTTTGCCTTTGTCATAATTGTTCTTCAATTAATGTGTCATCAGACACGTTCCTGTGCTGACACGTGGTGTGACCGTTTTGAATTTGGGAGAAACCATTTTCTCTCCCTCGCGCCTCTTCCCCTTTCACTTCACTCTCTTTCTTGCTTTGGCTTCTCGAGTACGATAACTCTCTTTGAGAGTACTAGGTACTTCCTTTCTGTAGTTTTCTTTTTCTTTCTTCCCCACTCTTCTTCGGGTCTTTCTTGTCGTCTTTATGGCTGGAGGGAGTGGTGTTGGTTCCTCCGGGCCTGACAAGGGCGAGGCACGGGGTAAGGCGGCGGCTGCCGGAACGGCCGCCGCTGCGAAAAAGAAGGAGGTGGCGCCGCCAGCGAACCTCGTTCCAGGCATTCCTAGGTACGACTGGGTTCGGCACGAGATGGCGGAGGCCCAAAGCGTTTTCCGGTCCTATCTTGAAGTCAATGCAGTTTTGAGATCGCTCAGAATCTGTGACCCTTCTGTGTCCCGAATGATCCGTCTTGAACCGTGTTAGGCCGGAAAGGGCGTGTATATGGGGAAGTCCACTAACTCTCCCCATTTCTATATGTACCATTGTTTTTTTAGGGATTTAGGTGTCTGCCTTCCCTTCACCCAAATTGAGTGTGATTTTTTGAACTTTGTCAACTCGGCTCCTTGCCAGTTGCACCCCAATAGTTGGGGTTTTTTGAGGGCTTTTCAAGTCCTCTGTTCAGTGCTAGGGGTAGAGGTGTCCCTTCCCGTCTTTCTTCATTTTTATTAGTTGAAGATAGGTGTTCCGCCCTACGGTATACTGTCCTTGAGTGGGAGTAGGGATGGGGGTTTGTTTACCCTCTATGCCCACTCATACAAGAACTTCAGGCAAGAATTTTTTCGGGTTGCTCCTGTGGGTGTCGACCCATTGGAGAATGAGGCGTTTTACTTCGGCGGGCTGCCGAAGTTCCTTTTCTATTGGTGCCCCAAACCGTCTAGGTTTCATGGGGTGGGCCAATTAAAACTGACGGCTTCGGAGGCGGCCGCCGTCGAGAATCTCGCAGTGCTTCCTCGTCCGCTGGATTGCAAGCTCGTTTTGTCGCTTGTGAACTCAGCATACAGGGAGTGGGGCCTGGAGAGTGAGTATTTCGCCTTTTTTTAGATTATTAGGGTTTGTGAAAATCCTTTTTCTGATGTGCTTCGGTATGTTGTGTTTGTAGGCATAATGGGCAGGAATAAGTGGCGCGAGCTGAAGCACCGCTACAGCGTGACCGAGCTCGAGGTCCCTGAGCCTCCAGAGGAGGAGGTTTCCCCCTTGAAGGTCAACCAAAAAAGAAAGAGGGGCGATAAAGAGGTCAGGGGGACCTCTGTTCCTCGCGGAATGGAGGAGGTGACCTCCAAGGCTGTAGATGCCGATGCAGTTGATCTCACTGGGAGCCCTCCGCCTGAGGAGGTTCCCCAAGTGGCTGTTGCAAGGACTTCTGAGCAAGCTGTTCCCTTTGCTGAAGTAGGTGTTTTGTGCTTTAATTTATTTTCTATGTTGATTTGGCATGGTTTGTTGAGGTGTTGTCTCTCTTTGCAGGCCGGGGTGGCTGCCAAGGTGGAGATCCTGGATGCTGAGCAGGTCGCCCAGGCTGCCAAGGTGAGTACTTCGCTTTTTGCTTTCCCCTTTATCTCGCATGTTAGATTCTTGCTTCTTGACATGAGGTAGGTTTTTGTAGGAAGGGGCACTTTCGAGACCCCGGTGCCTCTGAGGTTGGAGGTGCCAGGCGTGGGCCCCCCTATTGCCGAGCGGGGGACGCCAGCTTCTGCTTTTGTTACGACTCACAGCAAGGAGCCAAGTTCCGAGGTCCCTTCGGCTACGCCCGCAGCTTCTGTGCCATCGTCAGGGCCGTCGCAGGGGGCTTCCCGGAGCTGATATATTGCTCACCGTTTCGGGAAGGGTCGCTCTGATGTGCGCCTGGACCATGTGAGTGCCTCGGCCGACATGAACTCGCTGTGGAGCGCTGGGGTGACCGCCGAGAGATTCTTCCCCGAGGGTGCGCTGAGCTCGGAGGATCAGGGGATGATCGAGGAGGCCGGGCCTGTGGAAGGCTTTGACGCTGCTCAAGTCTTCCTTCAGAGGACTATGGCTATTGTGGGCCACTGGAAGCACAAGTGGTCCGAGCAGCAGGAGGATCTGGCCAGGCTGAAGGGCCGAGTTAAGCCCTTGAAGGAAGAAGCCAAGGCCCTAAGGGAGGGGAGGAAAGCTTTGAAGGATGAAAACCGGGCCTTGGCAGGTGCTCTCGGGGAGGCTAAGCTGCGTAACGAGGCCGAGCTTCAAGCTACTTAGAGGGAGGTGGAGAGGCTTCGGAGGCCTTTGGAGATTTCACTGCGGTCGAATGAGACCTATGTTACTCAGGTTCGCGACTTGCAGGAGCTCTCCAGTTCCTCTCGAGCTCGTGTGCGTGCTTTAGAGGATGAGGTCACTGTGCAGAAGGTTGAGCTGGTGGCGACGGCCGAGAAACGTCTCTGTGACGAGGTGCTTCTTGGCGGCCAAGTGGAAGAGAATGTCGCTTTGAGGGTGGACCTCGCGAAGTTGGAGGAGGCCAAAGCGGGGCTGGAGAGGAAACTCGAGGAGACCGAGCACTCTATTGTGGTAGAGCATAAGAGGGGTTTCCTCAAGGCCGCTCGCCAGGCCAGGCTCCTTGCGTCGGGGTTTGACTTCTCCGCTATGCATGTGGAAAAGGTCGTCCGCTTCGGGAAGTTGGTAAGGGAGGATGATGTTGAGGACAACTCCAGCGAGAATGCCTCTGCGTAGGCCAATTTTGTAATGGCTTAGCTAAATTTCTTCTGCTTTATCTTTTTGTTTTGAATTCAAGTGT